ATATGACTTTTTTCAGATCATACCGAGCGTTAACGTGCAGTACTTCCGGTGAAAGTTAACAACACAATGCAAATCTACATTTGTTGCTCTATCTTCCAAAAAGGTTTCATCTTCCTGTGATGAGCGGTTTTTAAGAAGAGCGACGGACAAAATGACCCTTAAAAATCACAAAATTGCGAAAATCTTCGAACCGGAAGTGACGTCATCAAAATGAAAAAAAATGCATCAAGTTTTTTTAATGTTCTATCAGACCTGAAAGTTTCATAAAAATATAACGAGCCGTTTTTGAGAAATCGCGTGCACAAAATCGGGGAGAAAAAAAATAATAAGAAAAACAGTGGAAAAGAAACAAACGAATAACAAGAAGGTCTTCCGCTGAAGACGGAAGACCTTAAATAGTGGAAAAGAAACCTAAGAAAAACAATAAGGTCTTCCGCTGAAGACGGAAGACCTTAATAATCTTTACCATCAGAATCAGTAGAAGGTCTTCCGTTGGAAACGGAAGACCTTAATAAACAAATCAATAAATCTTGTGGACCAGGACAAAAACTTCTGTGTAGACCTATTGGTTTACGCATGATTATTAGTAAATTCAACTGTACAATTAATTAATGCACTGCAGTAGACATTTTAAGTCAGTCAGTCGGGAGGGGGCAACCAAACATTTTTTTTTTTTAAAATGGCTAATAAATATATAAATAATGTATAATGTTGCATTGTAATAAACAAAAAAGTCAATAAATAAATAGTCATGTTACCTCCCAATCAACGGATTGTAATTTAATGTTGTGCTGTGGTTTGTTAGAAAATAATGATCGAAGTACTGAAATTATCGTATATTTATAGGAAACGTATAGTGATTATATTATACATAGTATACATTTACATTACCTTAGAAAATATAAACAAACAAAAAAAAAATTAAAATCAAACTAAATTTTATTTTATTCCTTTGGCCGAGCAGTCTTCGGTATGGGCCGAGGTGTCAATGATTTTGAGCCGACCCGTCAGGGCCGAGGTGTCAACCAGCACGGGCCGGGGTGTCGTTGGGCCGAGTAGTCTGTCTACCATATTGCTCTTTGTTTATACACGATCATTAGAAAACATCTTTGAACTTCTTTCCTTTTTTAAAAATATAATTAATTTAAAAATAAAATTATAATATCTTTTAATATTTGTTTTCAAAAACTACTAAAATGTAATCATTATTGTTGGGATTAGGAAACACTATAGAGTTATATAAGGATATAGGAGTTATCGTTAATTGTTAACCGGCTTCTAAAACATTTTCTGTGACAAAATTTTATTCAAAATATGTATAAACAATGATAATTTATAAAGATATGTTGTCAAATATTAATAAAATGTAATATTTCCTGGTGGGATTTATTGTTTTTCTATGGGACTCATGTGGGACTTACTTTCCCCGTGGAACTTGTTTTAGTAAGTCCCCGGCAAAACAAGGTCAAAATCAATGAACGAGTCAAAGGCAGCTCCCTGCACACCATGTGACCGTAATTATGACGTCACGTCATACTCAAAGTGAAAGTACGAATAACCGCTCGTACGCATATAAGTCGTACGCATATATATAAGTATTGCAATCGCTAATTACGTGAATGTTTAAAGATATTATATTTTTTATGCATTATTCAATGAAGAAAGGTAAAATAACAAAGATGTAAACGTGCTTGAAATACAAGCCTTTTTGTTTAATTGGTTAAAATACCTAGTCTGATTAAAGGGGGGGGTATATTGTTTGTGTATATCTGACAAAGTACAGCAACAACCCCTCATCCCCCACTCCCATCCCAACCCCACCCTTTTTGCTTGATATCGCAGAGTAAACAGGTAAAAAAAAGTCTTCAGAACCCTATCTACACGGTGCATGTCAAGGTTCTGTGATGCTTCTGCGTGTAGAGATATGATACCGGTATCACAAAACCTTGACATTGTGAAGTTTTCACACTTTAAAATAATAATTAAAGAACTTCAATGCCAAAACAGATTGTAAACTTGTAGTCTATTGTATTGCAATATAGACCCCCCCCCCCCATTGAAAAAATCCAAACTGGGTGATTTTGGGTGGTATACGACATTTTACAGAGACGTATGGATTTTTAATTACTTAGGCCTATGTCCAAACCGAATCTTATTGTCTTTTCCATTGATTTCTTAATCATTCTTTATCATACATAATACATATTCTTCGTTTGAACATTTTTTCTTCTAATTTAAGTCAAAGCATTCTACCACGTCTAACGCGCAACTTAATAAATAAGTCAAACAAATGTATACTTTCTTCAATTTAATAAAAAAAAATAAATAAATAAAAAGACAGTAGCATACTGTACATGAAAACAAAACGGCATTGTTGCATTGTTTAAATCTATAAAGCTACTTTAATTATTTATTACTATTGAAATTCAAGCAAACAACATGTTATAAAACTGAAAGAACATCATCACAAATTGATAGGTGACATATATAATGCATGAACCAGAGGCGAATCCAGTAATTTTTGAAAGGGTCTTCCAAGTTTGTGCCCTCCGTACCCCCTGCTTTATAGAATCACACCACATGCGCTTTAGCACCGTAGCAACGACTTTAAAGGCCCTGAATAAAGCTGACAAATAAGCAAAATTAAAGTGAGCACCCTTAATATCCAATTTTTTTGTAAAGGGGGTGGGTGAAATTTTCAGTACATTTTTTAAATGCTGGAATTTGCATATTTTTACCCTCCAGCAACGGTAAGGGTGCCGCGTCCTATTAACTAAATTTGCATAATAATAAATTTGCATATTAAAAGTACACTCCGCAAAAGATTGCTCTCAGAAATAGTGACCCCCCCCGTCCACGTATTATGGGGGTGTTTTACACCTTTGAATTCATTGACTAAATTCTTCTCATACTACACAGAGAAACTTTTTAGCATACTCCTTATCTTAACCTTTTTTTTGCATATTCCTGTACGTAAGTTACTTGAGAAGATTGTCCAAAAATATTATGGCCAAAGTTTTGCCAGAATCTTCCATGTTAAAATCTTGCATTTTACTAGTCTGGTAATTAAGTAAATCATTTTTCTTTCAATATCTTATAAATAAAAATCCTTCGTGACATCCTTATAAGTTTCAAGTGACCTTGTGTTGGTGGTGGGGCCCGGTATCAAGGTAGTGAAGGTATAACTGGTATCTATAAACAAAGCAATACACAATACTCTTTCTAGTGAGCAGAAAAGGCAGAGATTGAGATACTTTATTTATTTTAACATATTAAACGTAACAGAAAAACATCCTCTCCCTCTCTCTGGAAAAATAAGGAGGAGGGTCCAGTCCCTCCTCTCTAGGTCTGCCAATGTGTACCATTAAAATTCAGTTAAGAATATGCAAAACAGAGGACATATAATTGCAGTCAACAGTCAAGTCACAAACAGTCAAAGTTATATGATGGTTTAACAAGAGTAGGGCACTGATTGTTTTATTGTCCAAATTAGCAGGGGTCTCTATCTGCATTTTCTTCACCATAGAGAAGACTCATTCACATCCAGCATTGGAATTTGGCACAACATTAAAGCATGGCTTTGACTATTTTACCATCACTGGAAACTGCTCTACAGTCACAAAGTACAAAGTTGATCCTTGTATGGCATGCCAAATTCACAAAAATGAGCTAAACATAGTTTCACAATTGATAAACTAGGTTTATCAACTGTAAACTATAGTTTACAAACCATGAACTATAGTTTACAATTCGTTAACTATAGTTTTCATCTGTAAAACTATATTTAATGGTTGTTAACTATAGTTTAGGAATGCTAATCTAAGTTTATTTGTCTGTAATAAAATGTTAACAATATATTTTGTTGTTAAACATAGATTCACGTCTGTAAACTATAATTTATGATCGTTAACTATAGCAGTCTTCACAACAATTCTTTTTCAGCACATGCCCTTCGGGCATGTATAACGGTCATTTTAACCCAGCACATTGAAATTTTTACATGCCCTACTCAAATTTCCTCCATATAGCAGAGATATGATTATGCAACCAAAAACAAGGTTTTTATTTTAACTATAAGGACAGTTTTTCTGTTTTTAAATTCTCTCAATCTTTAGTTTAAATCGTTTCAAGAGTTTTAAATCAACCGTTCGTGGCCTGCCTTTCTGCCATTTTCGTATGCATTTTTGTTCACAACTTTTGACTCGCATGCTGGCCGTTTGTTGGCCATTATAGCTGAATTGAATTTCATAAGTATGATCATGATCATCATGACAGCAGTCCACTGCATGTGGTATTAATAAACGTAATTTGGAAAGAAACAATGAGAAAACAAATAGGTTAAATTAAACACTTTAATGATTACGATTGATAATCATTTGACAGGTCGTACCGATAATGTAACGTAAGACAAATGTAGACTGGCAATTCAGATTAAGACATTACATAGCAAGTTTACACGAATAACTGGGGTATGACAGACGAAATAGCAAGTAAACATCGTGAATCGAAGAAAATTCACACATGCCCTTCGGGCATGTAATTTGAGAATTTTCACATGCCCGCTGGCAAATTTACCAGGTCCCGGGCATGGGGCACCCAGGTTATTTCGAAGACTGCTATAGTTAAGAGTTGTAAACCATAGTTTACAATCGTGAAACTGTATTTATCAGATAATCTATGTTTTGCGATCGCAAATGATTGTTTTCGGTGATAAGTTTACAGTCGTGAAATATAGATTATCGCGTTAACTATGGTTTACAGATGTAAAATATAGATTAAGGTTATTAACTATAGTTTACAGTCCGTAAACTATAGTTTACAAGCGATAAACCTAGTTTATCAACTGTGAAACTATGTGTTGCTCATTTTTGTGAATTTGGCGTGCCATACTTATGTCACAGGTTCAAATCCCCCTGTGGGACGTCAAGACTGTTCAACCAATGGCCCTGAATGTCGAGTATAGGACAAAATTAGCAGCTTTCCGCCGGCAAGTGGTGGCATCTGTTGTATGAGTGAAACATTCTTGAAAGGGATGTTAAACAATATACAATCAATCATCACTAGGGCTGGGATGATACAACTTTTTCTATATCCATACATATCACGATATTTGAGCCACAATACGATATGTATCATGATATGTTTAATTGCTTACAAAAAATCTTTTTTTGCACTGAAATTATCAAATTATTTCACAAAAATATTTTACTCAATTGTAAGTGATGTAAATTATTATTTATTTCAAATCTATATTTATATTTAGCTTAATTATTTTATACATTAAACCCCAAATGTTAAATAAACATTTAAAAATGGAAGTCAGATTTTTTGGGACAATATTTCTATATTTTTTCACATGTATCAATATGCCTATCGTCCTCACAGATATCTCGATATATATAGTCCCAGCCCTAATCATCACTGGAAATTTTATTTCTTTTGTCCAGAATTCTATCCCATGCAGTAGACATCTGTTTTTGTGTTTTCCACAAAACTTGGGAGGTCCACAGCAGGAGTTGTTTGGTAGTCCATGAATTCCTCTTTCCTTTATTCCCATTGATCCTGGGGCACTAGGGAAGTGAATCCCTGTGCTAGCACAGTTAGGGCAGTTGGTGGTACATGTAGATCTCCTCCATTTGCTGGATTTGGGAAGCCAAGGTTGAATACCACCATATCCTTGAAAAGAAATTTGGCCAGCACCTTTGATGTCCTGCATAGTAGATTTTTCTTAATGCCCTAAAAATATTTTTAGAAGTCATTTATCAACAGAAAAGAAATAAAAATGTCAAATAAATAATAAATAGGCCTAAAATGATTTTTTCATTTAGGGAAATCTCAAGTTAGCATGGGAGTGCAATACATGTACAAACCTCTGTAGTGATGATGGTTGAATTTCATCCTCATGGTCCACGGTGACAACCTACATGGCTCTTGTCATTACACCAGTGGCAATGATAATCACCAGTGGCAATGATGTTGTCATTCAGCTGGGAGTTGCTGTCTTTGAATGGCACAGCTGTGAGATCCTTGGTAGACTATATGATCATTGCTTTAACAAACTTCTCATGGAAATTTCTCAACAAAGTCAACATCTCCCTCAAGTACCCAATATTAACTTCATCATCCTGATAAAAGACAAAAATGTTTAAATATCAATTTCTCCAATAGGCATTTTTTAAAATTTAATTTAAATGTACATTTGTATGTACAATAATTATATAAAACATTCAGACGTTCAAAATTTTACGTAGAAAATAGTGTTAAACTCGTTAAGTGGATGAAGAATGAAACTTGGGAAGCTGATGTACATATACATGTACATGGTTGTTGTCATTAATATAGGATGTATCGCTTCACCTGTCCTGGTTTCTCAACATCGTCATGGGAACTATAGTAACTCTGCAACACACTTTTCTAAGCTTAATCATCTTGTACTTGAAAGCTTCAGGATCTTCAATGGCTCGATGTCGCTGAATTCCATGATCGAAGTCCTTAAATATCTCTTTTCAGTTCAAGCTAAATAAAAAGGGATATTGTTATTAGTACCATAAACAATTTTTTAAAAAAACAAATATTAAAACAAAAATATAAGTATGATAGCCCTTAATTAGTAGAGCATTATCATTATTATACCCCCCACTTGAAAATTGGGAGGGTATATAGTAATGATTAGAGTATGTCCGTCCGTCTGTCTGTACATTCGCCCGTCTGTCTGTTATGCTTTGGGGTACCCATCTCTTATCCGCAACTCCTCTCATACCACTGATTGAAATTTTACGAGACTTGCACAGAATCTTATTACATATTGCCATTGTGCACCTTCTATTTTCTAATATTAAAATAAAATTCCTAATTATGATAAAAGTGAAAATAAACCTCAACTGGCAGGGCAATTACCATGACTCCAGCTCAATAGATATATTACAGGGAGACAACTTGTTACACATTGATGGCCACTCTCTACCATCGGCTCATACATTCACCTCTGTCGTTGGCTCGCGTATACACAGTGTTAAACACGAGAAATAGTGCGTTTATTTTAATTCATTATATTTCAATTTCTACGATTATGTCTGAGTTTTGAGATAGATATTTACTGAATCAATACAGAACTATTAATTTAAATTGAAACAATCCTTCAATTATCACGTTTTATACGTTATGTCAAAAATCTTGACGTGAGCCCATTGCAGAGGTGTCTGAGAGAGGAACGAACGACAACTCTGCATAGGAGATTGATTGATGGCTTGATGTTACTGTCTGGAAACATCCCTTATGAAGCAATCTGCCACAAGGAAAGGGAACAAAACCTCAGCCCTAATCACATCTGCAACAAAGAAATTTATTTTTAAAATACAGGCGGGGATTTTTTTCCAGGGGGTGTCCACCCAAGTCAAAAACAAAAAAATAAAACTTTTTTCCAGATGTGAATAAAGTGCCGCGCCACAGCATGATACGCCCGTCAAAAAATTACAATTTTCTTGAACAGTTTAGGTGCAAGAAAATCACATCAACCTTGATTCTAAGATTTCGATGATTTTTCCATTCCTTAAAATATTTATCCATCCCCTGTGATGTAGGCATCAATTATAATAAATATTAAATCACTGATAGATTTCTGTGCTGGTTGTGTTAGACCTTGTCAAATGCCCATCATCAAATTAGTCTTAACAACTTAATCTATACCAAATTAATTTTGAAAAGAAAAGGCTGGCCATCAAATGACACATGTTATAAACTGACCAGCAATTCTTCTGTCTAATCCCCAAAGGGCTGCTTAATCAGAGCGACTGAGACAGCTAGCCTTCCTACATTGACTGGATGCTTGTCTACTCATTACTACCAAGAGATGAATGGGTCTGCACTACCTACCATAATTTAAAAAAAAAAAAAAATATAAAACACTCAAAAATTTTTTTTTTGGTTGAGATTTAATGTCCGACAGGTTTTAACATGTAATTCATATGGACATGCTGATTCAACCCCACCCCATAAAATTAGTTTTTAAATTAATAATATTACATAATATCAGATTAGTCTATTATGCAATATCAAATTAGTTTTAATTACTTTTCATCAAATTCATTTCAAAACTTAAGCTAGTCAACAAGAGCTATTTTTAATCAAACAGGCTTACCCATTTGCCCAATTCTCAAGGGATAAAGATAACACCAATGCTCTGTCAGTTAGCTCCTCGCACTCAAAACCCATTAATTTCTCTCTAATTTGACATGCAATTTTCTGTTATCAAAATTCTTCTTGACCAGTGCTTGATAATTACACTCATGGGAGACATGGGATTCTCTAACATACATTATATTTGTTTTAGATTGCTGTCAAGTATATGCTTAAAAAAATAAGTATTTTCTTGATTTAACACTTTTTTAATAAGAACAGTGCAATACTCTTACATTATTTGGGATGTGTAAATGAAAATTAAAAGACACATTTTTAAAAAAAAAATTCACTTAAATTAAAGGTCACAGTGACCTTGAAATAGGTCGCGACACACCTTCTACCTAAGATGCATAAACTGGCCAAGTTTGATGATTGTAGGTCTTATAGTTTCTAGTTATGGGCCGGAAAGGATTTTTCCATATTTGGCTGCAACTTCTTAATTAAAGGTCAGAGTGACCTACTTTTTGTGCGCGACACACCTCCTACCCAAGATGCATCAGATGACAAAGTTTGATAATCCTAGGCCTAGTAGTATTAAAGTTATGAGCTGGAAACGAAAAAGCTAACAGACAGACGGGCAGACAGACAAACGGATGGACACGAAGCCTATAACATAATACGTCCCGTCTTAAGACGGGCGTATAAAAACCTATTTTATGGGTGGGGTGGGTAGTTGTTGACTTTAAAAGCTTCATGCCTATATGACTTTTCATACCAATTTCATGCCTATGACTTTTCATACCAATTTCACATAAATCCCAGTTTTCCAAGAGGGGTCCCGGTGATGTATCAATATGAGTGAAAATTTTTTGAAGTGTCTTTAACCAGACCATTTCAATATCAATATGACTATTAGTGTGGGGTTGTCATACCTCTCAAAAGGTCTAGCATCCTTTGTGACTATCGAGGTAGCATTAGACCATGAAGTTTATAAATACAGGAAGAATTATAAAATATTGATATTGCTGGTATCTCTTTAATGATTCAATAATTACTCTTAATTTATCATGTTTATAATCAACCAAGAAAACTAAATAAACTAGAGGTACTAACAAAGTCCCTGTTTTGCTGTTGTGTGACTGTTGGATAAAAAAGTAAAATAGGAGGTGTACAATGGAAATATTTAATAAAGATTCTGTAAAAGTTTCATTAAATTTCACAAAGTGGTATATAAATAAGAGGAGTTGCGGATAAGAGATGGATACCCTGAAGCGTATAAATGGACAGAAAGACGGATGTACAGACAGCTAGAAAGACATACCGATTACATTATACCCTCCCACTTTTCAAGCGGGGGGTATAACTAGAGGCACTGTGAGCAATGAGCTCACTAAATGATAGATCATATCCCCCGCCTCCCATATGAACATGATATATAATATAATGGCAATGACCATGTTTTGCTATGAGAAACCTGAAATATGTGACTGTTGGATCATAAAGTAAATAAAATAGAAGGTGCACAATGGCAATAGGTAATAAATATTCTGTGAAAGTCTCGTCAAATTTCAATTTTCATTCAACGGTATAAGAGGAGTTGCAGATAAGAGATGGGTACCCCAAAGCGCTACAGACAGAAGGACAGATGGACAGACATACAGCTAGACGACACCACAAACACTATTTTCCCTCCCACTTTTCAAGCTGGGGTTATACTAAGTCAGTCAAATCTTGTACAACATTGAAAGATCTAGATATAATCAATTTTACTAAAGTATGGTACATGTGACTTATCCCGTGTGATAGTGATGATTATGTGCAGATACCTGATGGCATTGGTCATATTAAACGTTTTAATGACAATTTAGGAGGAACTATCAGTTACAAAGTCTTTTAGTGACAGGGTACAGGATGATACCTGGTTAGTAAACTTCATACCTGGCGAGGTATCATCCCGTACCCTGTCACTAAAGAACTATTTACCCAGGTAACTAATTTACCCCCACCAATGAAACATTTAAACACATTATCTGTAGTTTATAAATTATGTTTTTCTCTGCTACATGCTTCATCATGTTCATACTGTGCCTATAATGATGTGTTTCACGTTGTGTTTATCTATCACATTGTGTTTGTTACATAATACATTGACAGAACATGTATTGATTTACAATTGACTGGGTATAAGTAATCCACCCCCTTCACATGACAGCTAGACTTCAACCAATCATAAGATAGAATTTCTTTGATAAATCTACAGAGATAGGGTTAAAATATTACCGTATATGGGGTAACTACATGTATTACAAAAAAATTTCTTGGAGAAAACTAATTAAGTAACATTTTAACACCTTCAGCAGGTTGAGGTTGAAGTCATGATGATAAAATAGCTGCAGAACTGTAGCTCTCTGAAACATGTGAAACAAATATACTGACAGACCTGAGAGCTACAGTGCTACCAGTTGAAAAAAATTTATATTTATTTTGCACAAAAATTGATTTATTTCTCTGTGTTTTTCAACTGCCATCTCAAAATGTTACTAATCATGTGTTCCTGAACTTATTCTTTTAATATATTTCCACAACAAAAATTGCCTTATAACCATTGTATACAAATCTTCATGGGCCTGATATAGAGATCATCGAAAATTCTGCCTATACATGTATTTACACTGCCATTTTGAGAGGCAAATTATTTGGTCCAACAGACCAACACGCTGCAGCTTTGCAGTGTGCGAAACTAACTTCAAAGTCCTATAGACTTTCGGTCCATAGACATTTCATTTTCTATAGACCGCAGCAACTTCCTATGGACCGAAATTTAGAATACTACATTCAATGCTAAAATATTGAAATTAAAATAAACGTATTTGATGTAAAATGGTGAAATAATTACACTTTCCAGTAGTTTTTGTACTGGATAAAAGATTACAACAAGAATCAAAAAACACGGTAAGACGACTGACTACAACAACATTGATAAACGACTCAAACATTGAGAATGTCTGTCTGATAGACAAGAGTAATAATAATTCCCGGGCGTGCACCCTCAACATACTTTAAACGGTCGAAGAAGGACATATTTCTTCTGCACTGTTTTGGTGTCCGCGGCCATTAAGTAATCACAACTTAACCTCCCCTCATGTTAAAAATAAAATATTCCGATTCGAATTATTTCTGCATACATCGTTGAACAAACTATTATAACTAAGGGGTGAACGGAATACATCAGTGTAATACAGACGTTTTATTTAAACTGGTCCTCTTTTTTGTGGTTTGTTTATTAGAGAC